ACTTAAATCTGCTGTATCTCGGTGAAAAAAAATTCTATTTAGACGTTCCAAAATGGAAATTAAACGGCAAGACTCGTACTTTACGATACTTTGTTTAGTTTTTGTCGGTAAAATTCTATGCAACCAGGAGGAAACTCCAATAATGCCCTAAAACAGTCATTTTTGCACTTTTAGGTTAGAATATCTCAAAATTCTGACGCGATGGCGTCATTCTGAGGCTAGATTTGAATTCAGCGCACCGAATTCCTTCGGGTAAACTTCTTACTTCTTTTGTGATAAAAACCTTATAAACCTGTGTTATTTATCTTGTATTTAATAAAGTCAAGTGTTTCTTCGTTGAAAATCATATAGAATATATTCTTGTAAGTAACTTATTTTTATTCAACAGTATATAATATATATGTAATCTCATTTGAAGTTTAACATGTGAAAAATAAAGATATTTTATTATTTTAATACTTATACTACAGATATAGTTTTTTTACAACAATTCTTTCACTATAAGATAAGATAGTTACACGTACCAATCACTTTTTTTAGTATGATGTTAATTTTAATGAAAAAAATTCATTGGTTCTCTTTTTTCGTCTGTCAATTTACATTTGGAATGCAAAGTCGCGAGGCAATGACGATTTGACATTTGCGCAGCACACGCTTCGGGCCATCGCTGCGATACATCGAGTTGCCAATCGAACTGATCACACACACAGTCCTCCATGAGCTAGCAAACAAGTGTCCGAATCTGACACATATGCTGTTGGATTTTTCCACTGCCATGCAGCTGCACGACTTCTCGGAGATGCAAGCGTTCCCCACGAAGCTAAAGTATATGTGCATTTGCTTGTCCGAAGTAATCTTCATGGAGGGTTTCATGAGGAAGATTTACAACTTCATTAACGGCCTCGAGATCCTTCATCTAATCGGTTAGTGATGGGGACTTTAAATCTTGTGACACGTGTTATCCTCGTAATTTGTCACGCGAAGCCTATCATTTCTTCCAGGAACCTACGAGAAGGTCGAGGAAGAGGAGGAGGAGATCTACGAGGTGATAAATGTGCACAAATTGAAGTCGGCGACGCCGAACTTGAGGGTGATCAATCTGTACGGGATCAACTTCGTGGACGACTCGCATATCGACGCTTTCTCCTCCAATTGTATCCAACTGGAGTGCTTAGCCGTGAATTTCTGCGCTAAAGTTACCGGCTCGACCATGAAAACGCTCTTTCAACGAAGTAGAAGGTTGAACTGCCTGCTTATGCAAGGAACAAGTGAGATGTTATATTAATGAGATGTTAGATTAATGATGTCGTTTTCATTTTGTTTCCATTGTTGACATAAAAATCTCCGAGAGTTTGCTCTTAATATCGTCTTAATTGGCCGCTTCTTCTCATCGTGAAGCTACAACCCTTACCCGGGCAAATAAAACCCTTTGAATCCCGAAGTTCTCTTGTATATTAAAAGAAAAGAAATTCAGAAAGAGAGAGAGAGAGAGTTTTGTTATATTTAAAGATTTAATGACTTTATTCGCTTTAACATTATTTTCACGAAGAATATAAAAGATTGTATAAATTAATGTACTTTAAAAATTTTCTCTTTTACAACTTTGCTCGATTTTGCGTTATAAATATAGTTTGCTTAGATAAAGATTAATTATTTGAATGCGAGGCATTTCAAAGCTAAGCGATTGCTGAGGATGAAATACTTGGGCAATTGATGAAAAAAAGAGTAACTTCTTGAAAAATTGAAAGCTATGAATCAGAACTAATGAAATTTGATTCATTACCGTTGTTAAAATATACGTAAAAGAACTTGGATGTAAGTGTATTGCAGGTAATGATAATTGTTCATGAACTAAGAAAAAAATACTTCAAAATTTATTTATCGGATATACAGCTTATTTCTGTGAAATAAAGTATATTTCTGTGAACAAACTTTATATCTCGCAAATAAATTTTTAAATATTCTTTCTCAGTATATTAAAAATATAATTCGTAAAACGTCCGAAGAAATTCGTAAAACGTCCACAGCATTTAAGAAATTAATTATATCGAAAATCTTTTTGTATATTTTTGTCGGCCTCATCATGAACATTGTCGTACACTGAAAAAAATATCTAAAAATCGAAAAATATTTATTTTGATGGATATTAATAACATATTTACTTAAATCTAAATTCTTTTATTTAAGTAGAATAAAAACTGCTCTCATGAAAAGCCGTGATTTTAAGAAAATGTATACTTTCTTATTTGACAAAATTTTTTCTCAGTATAGAAATACATACATTAATATAAGTGAATATATTATTAATAACTACCGAGTAAATATCACAAATATTTTCTAGATATTTCTCTTCTCAATGCAACGCTGACGAATTTATCTCGATCAACTCTTTACGACATTTTAGATTTGCAGAGCGAGTACGTAATGCAAGTCGAGTGGGAAAAATCCAGCATTCAAGAACTGGACGTTACCGCTACTGATCTGTCGACAGAGTGTCTGATCGACATGCTGACTAGGATCCCCGGGCTTCGTTTTCTCAGTGCCGGTCAACTGAACGGTTTCAACGACAGCGTGATGAAGGCTTGGACCGAAGTCGGAAATCCGCGTAACCTGATAGCGTTGGACCTGGACAGATCGGATAACCTGAGTGACGATGCGTTGCACAAATTTCTGTCGAGATATGGTCATCAACTATACTGTCTCGCGTTGTCAGGCATGCCGCACATCACGGACCAACTTTGGCAAAGTGTACTGCCAATTCTCACCAACGCGAAGTAAGTTTTCGCGTGACTAATTTAGAAGCACGCAAACGGTACTGAGCGTGTTCTAAATCCGTTATAACAGATAATTGCAATATATATCAATTAAGTGCTATACTAATTAAAAAGGACAATAATGTGTTCTATATTGAATTCTTCATTGTGACGAATTTATGAAAATTTATTTTTCATAAATATAGATATAACTTACTCTCGCTTTAATGACTCCACATATAATAACTCGGCCTTACTTAAAAAAAATGATAGAATTACATAAGAAAAGTCTACGTAACTGAATTCTTTTTTGATGAAAAATGTGATAAAATTACGTAAAAAGGCGTGTGTACACGGATAAATATTTAATTTAGTATAATAGTTTAGTTTATTTAGTTTAGTATAATATATTTTTCATTAATTATTTAATCATTTAATCATTAAAAGTTACGCGATGTAAAACAAAAAAAATTTATAACTTTTTTATATGAGCTAAAGTATGAGAAATTGCAATTTTCGATAAAAATGATTAAATAAAGTTTAAATAAAGTTATATAGTATTTCAATAAAATTTGTATACAGAGTGAGTGTGTCATTCTTAACGTAAAATTCAAAAATATATCTATTGTTTTCCTATATTAGAAGAAAAAGTGTAAAAAAAAAAATAAAAGGAAAGGTTGGAAAGGATATAAATATTTTGATCAACCTTTTCCAACCTCAACAATTTATTCCTTATGCATTTTCTTTTAAAAGTAACAGAGATATTTTAGAATCTAATGTTAGATAACTCACCCTATATATTCCTTATCAATCCTTATCGTATTTTTAAAGCAGGATAATTAACTCTATGTGTCCGGGAAAAACGTTCATATATAATCATATAAAATGTGATTATATATATATATATATATATATATATATATATATATATATATATATATATATGTGTGTGTGTGTGTATGTATATAATTATATAATCATATATTATATAATGTGATGAATATATATGTCATTATATATAATTACGTATAATTATATAATCACATACATAATATAAAAATATATATTAAAAAATATATATAATTATTTATAATTATATGTAAACTTTTTTTTGTCCATATATGTGATCTTACATATAACTATATTTAATCATATATATGAAATAAATATTTAAATAACTATTGATGAAATAAATACCACACATGAAATAAATATTGTTGAATGAAAAAAGGAAAACATAATTTGATTCAATTAAACGTCATCATGGGCTATTATAAACATAAGTATTTATTTCAATTATATTTTCACAATAGCATTCTTTTCAATGTGGACATATATAATTATATATAATCATATATGACCATATATGGACAAAATCTATATATGAACTTTTTTTCCGGGTGACTAACTAGTGTTGCTTTGTGAGAACATCTAAAGATTCTGATAATATGTACAGAATACTTGTAATGGGCACACAAGAGAGGCTGGGCGTCAACATTCATGTGGACCAGTTAATGGACGGCATCGCCAATAACTGCCCCGATCTAGAGCGTTTAGAGTTACGATGGGACCCGGAGAACTTGCGATTTTCGGACAAAAGTCAGAAAGCCATAGATATCCTGCGCGTTAAATGCATCAAGCTGCGATGCTTGAGTTTAAGGTGAGATCAAAGTGAACGAATAAACCAAAAGCGTTGCACGGATAAGATACCTCTTTGCTTTCAGCGACGGAAGATACTATGAGATCGTCAAAGCGAACTTTGAGCGCGCCGACAGACTGACGGTCGTCAGGACGATCACATGCTGCAGAGTGTCGAATTATTATCTCCTGCAAAATTACAAGGACCTGATCTTCAACTGAAAGGCACATCGACAGAAGATGGAAGACATCCCGCGCGTTTTCTCTACGACAGTATTAATGGAAAAGAAAATCCCCGACGGCATGACGAGGAGAAAACAACAGCGAACTCTCGCATTGTACAATAATAAAGAAGAATCTCTAATTTAAGATCGCGAGCAAATGCGGAGAACGTCGTCCTCAGCGCTCGCGGAGCGACGAGCTTCCGAAACTTTCCCCGAGAAAAAAAGCAGCCATAAGAGGAGCGCACGAGACCGCTTCTCTCTTTCTCCTTTTTTCCCCGAACGAAACCGTGCGCCAGACGCAGGCGCGTCGTCCTCGCCGTCATCGTCGTCACGGAACACGCCGTCGTTGCCGACCTCGGCGGAGTACGGTCCGCATGGAAGACTGACACTTGCCGGAGGCGTGCACGCTGACACTGACGGCGACGACGGCGGTGGTGGTTTGCGGGGGAGAGAGAGAGAGAGAGAGAGAGAGAGAGAGAGAGAGAGAGAGAGTTATCGATTATTCGTTAATTTATTCATGCCCGCGAGTAGTAGACTACGACGCCGCACTGGCCAACGTCGGTCGATTCGGACCTCAGCGTGCGGCTACACGCGAGCCGCCGCGTTATGTGCCGCGCTATAGTCGGTCGAGGACTCTCCTGGTCGCTCGTCGTCGTCGGGCCGTGCTCCCACTCGCATGACTCCCAACGGCCGCGTTCCTCATGTCGGACGTCGAGGACTCGGCCGAGAAACGGCTGAAAATCGTGCTCGTGGGCGACTCCGGCGCCGGCAAAGTGAGTTGAGGAAGAGTCAGTGTCGTTCGCTTCGCCCTCGCGATCGAGGCTGGCGGGTTAGTTGAGCGCGCGTCGAGGTGGTTGATCCCGCGTCGTTCGTACGCTCGTTTGTTTCCGCTCTTGCGAGGAGCCCTCCGGAACGGCGCACCTGTGTGTTTATTCGTCAGCGCGTGGCCGAGCTCGTTTAAATTTGTTTGGCGATCGCCATGGCGAAAACGCTGTATAGCGAGGGCTCCTCAACAGGTGACGGTGAACTTGCTGCTCGTCGAAGGGTGCTCTCGATAAGTGCTTCTTTCCTCTCTTTCTGTCTATCTTTCTCTATCCTTTTTTTTTCTTTCGTAATTACCGTGTAGGCAGGAAGGTCGATAGAAACTGCGTTTAGCTTCCTTCGGATTCTCCCTCCCTCGCGATTACGACTAACGATATGACTTCGTTGATCAATTACGTAGATAATTGTTTTTTTCTGTCTTTTTTTGACATTGCAGCCGCTGATAATGGTCGATATTATGACGCGCGCTGTGGATTAACGATGAATGTAATACGCGCGAGCTTGGATCGATAAGGCCTTCGCGGACTTCGATTCGCCAGGCTGGAAACTTTTGTAATATGCGGCATTTCGGTTTTGCGGTTACCGTATTTTAAGTCTCGTACCGACGATAACGTCGATATAAAAGGCGGCCACGAATTTTCGAATCGATTCTTCTCGCATTAAGGACTGAGCATGTAGGTCGAACATGAATTGATTAACCTTTCGAGCTATTTTCTTTGATACACACGTACTTGCCGAATGACAAAACAAAGTCGCGTCCACAAAGTTTGACATCGTTGCGGTATCGAACGTCGTAACGGAATGTCCTGATTCGTTCGGATGTGAAGTTGGAATTTAATTTTTGATGATTAGCAAAGGTTGCTTTGGAATGTTCAGCGGAGCATCACCATTATCGTGCATCCATCGCGAAGCATTACCCAGTAAATTACCTATCAACTTAATAATGTGTATATAGAATGTTCCAGCTCGATTTCACAATCTCTTGTGAAGACATATAACGGATTGAGATGAATAAAACAACATCATTCTGCGAAAATCTTAATAATAATCGAGATATCAATATAAATCTTAATAATCGATATATATATATATATATATATATATATATATATATATATATATATATA